ATGTTCCTTGTGAATCGAAGGGCGTGAACTTCAACCACAGAGCGGATGGTGAGCTGGGTGAGTTGATGAGGAATGGATATCTCAGCGCCGCGCTCGCAGTCTTTAGGCTGATCATAGAATGACAGTGCGTAGTTCGCATTGACGGCTAATGAGACGAAGCAGAGACCATGTGTGTCACAGGTTAATGGCAAATTAATTTATTAATTAGCTACAGCGTCAACACCATAACTCAAAAGTGTTTCGCACGAAAAACTATAACGTCGCTGTAAAATAATGATGACACCTATGGTGAAATAAATTCCATTTTTCTGATTAGTCATTATAGTTGGGGGGTTCCTGCCTATATTTAATATTATACAATAATATTTATATATATATTTATATATATATATATACACTAGTATTATAATTATGATGTTTAATATTATTCATATTAAATTATTTACAACATATATTAATTGCTATTCTAATTAATTACTCACGTTTATCACAGTTGGGACCGGTGAAGTTGAATGGACAAACACAGAGAAACTCTTCAATCCCGTCCAGGCACTCAGCATTATGTGAACAGTTGTTTTTTGCACAATCGTCTATCACCGTTTCACACATCACGCCCGTATAGTCTGCAGAAACGAAAAAGTCCCGTAACTTTCACGACTTATTTGCACAACGTACAAAAATTTAATGCAGAATTAAAATTAGAAAATATAATTTAAGCAGAAGCATATTTACAACATTATTTTTACTCTATTATTGATTAATGGGGGGATATTCTAGTAGTTTATCGACAAGCTCGATGCGGCAACACTGCTGCATAAATACGTTAATAATAAGACAATATTTCCAAATACTACAACAGGTCTTTGATGTGATTTGGTTTCAGTAAGCCGTGTTTTCTACGTACCGGCGGCACACGTGCAGTTGAAGCCGTGTTCTGTGTCGGTGCAGATGGCGCCATGTTTGCACGGTGATGACTCACACGTGTTAGAGACGTACTGACAAACCACACCGTCAAAACCTACACACGCAACCAAAACACGACAGCACACAGTTACACAGCAGCGTTCCAAATCGTAACCTTAACGAACATTCATGATGTATTCCTCATGCTGTTCTCCGAATATTAAATAACTCATCCGAATATTTCAGAAAGGTCGCACCCATACTATCAAGCGTCCATAATAGAACATTTATTTTCTATTATGGACTTTTGATAATATGCTTTATAGATGTGTAATGCTACGAGTAAAATCCAGATGCAAGAACATAAAAAATACACAGATCTCACTCGATCTTAAAAACGTGAAGTTTACACCAAAAAGTTACCAACCATTACCAAAGTTATCAAGTTACCACCGAAAAACCAATATAACATTGAACATTGACTAAACATCTACCTGAATAGCTCAGAGTGGTTGAGGCATCGATATAGACTATATATCTATAGCATAGAACGTCAGTCGACCTCATCTAATAGCTCAGACATTACACAGCGCGAACATGTCACTGACAGACTGACATTGAAGCACTGACTGACCTTGTTCACAGAGACATCTGAATCGCTCGGCTTGTCTCACGCACGTGCCATGGTTGAGGCACGGGTCTCCCGCACACGGATCCGCACTGAACTGATCATCGCAGTCCTTGCCGGCCGTACCTTCAGGACACCTGTTAGAGGAGCAATGACCACACACACTCATAATCTTACAGCTCAACGTGTAATACCACCAAGCATATATAACAACACTAAGCAAGGCGTACGTAGCACAAGTATTGCTTCACGCATGATTCCGTGCGGGGAAAAAACGTTGAAATTTACAATTTTCGTTCCAGAATTTGCCCGATTCATATGCATTAGTCTGTGAGGACAGCAATGCAGATAGGACGCACAAGTAATATAGCTACGTGTATGGTGTACTAGCCATCAATAGAGACAGCACTACCCCCCAAACAGGGTATACCCACAAACTACTGTCTTCTTAGCTGTGTAAAGAATGATTAGAGAGACTAAAAATCACAGTTCACAGGCAGGCATCCTCCTGTCACGTCTCAGGAACGACAGAGTAACGGAGGAAAACTACTCTCTTCTTGGCCGTGTAAAGAATGATTTGCTTGTTCATCTCAAGGTTGAAGATAGAAAAGACGCTTATAATTGATAGAGAGATTTAAAATCACACTTTACAGGCGTCCTCCTGTCACGTCTCATCTCAATGTTGAAGATCAGAACTTAAAATCACACTTTTCCTGTCACGTCTCAGGAAGGAAGGACGGAGTAACGGGAAGGAAGGATGGAGTAACGGGAAGGAAGAACGGAGTAACGGGAAAGAAGAAAGGATGGAGTAACGGGAAGGAAGAAAGGACAGACTAACGGGAAGGAAGGACGGAGTAACGGGAAGGAAGGAAGGATGGAGTAACGGGAAGGAAGGACGA